GTGCACTGACAATTTGGCGGGTTTGCGATCTTTGTGAGTGCTTTCTAGTTGTTAAGTACTTTCCATGGGATTGTTTACTTGCCCATTAAATCATCAATTATATTTGCATGCATAGACCAACGTACGTAGGGCAGCCTATTATGTTATTCGTGGCATAGTCAATGTACACAACTTGATTTAGGCAAACATTCATTACAGACAAGTCTTAAGAATACGTAGAGAACTCATAAAATATCTCAAAGATTACAGAAGTTTAAACGATATAAAATACACACATTAAACATTTGCTATCCGTGCTCTTTGAAATTTCTTTTGAATCAAAAAGACAATATTGAGCTTTCTTAAACTAGGTTTTTATTTTGAGTTGCTTTTGGGCCTCCATTACACAAATATGCCAGAATTATTGCCGGGCACGGATAAGACACATTTAGGAAGTGATATTTTTACGTTCAGTGAAATTACCACAACGTGTAATTATTGTCCTATTTTGGGAAACATTTGACGAAAATTGTAGGCACGCTAGTTATGTCGACAAACATTGTGCTAAATGGCCAATCCATTTACCCAACAGTGCTTAGGGTACTTTTGATGAATTCTCGGTTTCATTACCAAAAAGAAATAAAAAAAGAAATTTCCAAAACGTGCGCACATTTTAGCCAGAGAAACTTGCTCGCTAATCTCAATTTGCTTATTAGCCCATAAGGACTTCGTCGTCGAACGATAACGTGCCTGATTTACTTACGCGTACCCATTTATGTATGAACCGCCTTTTTCAACTTTTTAATCGTAGTGAGAGTGGGTTTCTTATTGAGCGCTGTTACAACTCTGTCGTGCAGTCTTGGAAGGTCTTCTTCTGTTAGCCCGAACTTCGGCAACTCGGAAATGTAGGTTGAACCGTCACATCTGTACGGGATGGCTCTTTTGATGAAGTAATTTAATGTTTGATTCAACTCCCCTGGAATCCTGGACGTGTGGGGTTTAAGTAAATCGTCGCACAGGCGATTGCAAGTGTGATGTGCGAAGAAATTGATCATGCCGTACACCCCGAGATCGGTTGGACCGCAGTAGCCGAATCTCCCCTTCTCGCAGCTGTGGATGGCTGGATCAGTGAGCGTGAAAATGTTGTCCTTGTAAACACCTTTCAAGCCGGTAACAAGGAGCTTACCATCTGTTATATGGTATGAATAATGGCAGAATGCTATTAGCACACTTAGCACACTCTGCGACACCCCGGCCCTAACGTTCAAGGTAGAAGAGTTACTCAGGAAGCAGGAGTAACCATCGAGGAAAGGCTCCACCATTATCGGTGCACCTTCGTCGACAACATCATCAGCGCGCATATGTGGAAGAGTTTTGACTTTTATGAATTCAGGAAAGAGAAAGGTGATTTGCTCATGCCTTAGTAGGGATTGGTTAAACTGCTTTGAATAAATCTCTGCTTTTCGTGCCCGATACCGCTGTTGACAAACTTTTTCGTCCACACGCAGCAGCTTCACAACGCAGATTTCGCGACGTTCACGTCGGAACCTGTGTCTATCGACGGACTTTATTCGTCCCCGAAAGGTGCGTCCAGACTCTCCTTCAGAAATCTTGTCGTCCCTCCTTAATTTTACATAAACACGTCTACCATTGAGGGTGAACTCCTCAGATTTGTGGCTGTGAGAATTTCCCATTCTATTCCGATCATCTGTAAAAAATGAATGTTTGACATTGCAAGGTGAGCTAAAGTTTTTTTTTTTTTTTGGAAAAAGGAACAACCGTAATGTGTCAAATCGTCATACATAAAACGAGAAATATACTTACATCATTTACACAAAACGATACAAGTTGCTGTCAGATCTCTCTGTTAATCCCGAGTACTAACGGTTTCCGATGTCTTTTGATCCTACGCAAACCTTTGACCAGTATTGGCTCAGTTGCGTAGGCTTATATACAACTCTAAATATACCTATTGCTTCATTATACGCTGCCGTGCGTGACTCCTCAGGTCAATACCACTGCGAAAAAATAAGGGTTTTTTGTTAATGAGGGTGGGGTGTTTGCCCTTACGCAACGCTTTGTACAAACCTTGGCCACATTGGTAAGGGTTTATTTAAACTGGGGCATTACAAGACACTTCGTTCTCTTTAAAGCATGGGGCCTAATTTAATCACCGACTCGACATTTTCTACCAATGTTGCTATAGTGCCCACGGTTTCCGGTATGGAATTGAGACCACTGTAATCAGTGTCAAATGCACTTTCATAAACGTATTCATAACTCAGCATGGTTTCAAGGCCTAATGATACACTGGTACAACAACACGGATTTCTATCTCATTATTTTCAAGCCTACTTTGCACCTGTAGTTTTAACCTCTGTATGTATTTACACAGTCAATTCACACACTGATCACAAGTACATGCAGCTATAGCCTAACGCTCTTTTCGCAATCCGGTCTTTTACCATTATGCCCTAACAATGCTCCAACTCCTATGTGTGCATAATGTGTGCACTTTGTACCGGTTACTAAGCCACACAGAAGTGCGCCGCTGCATCTCGCCGACCTCCCAGCCCTAGGGCTGCAGAGCAGTAAACGTAACTGCCATAGTCCACGGTGATAAACACGCCCATCACTCACGAAATTCACAACTAAAATACTCACAACTATCCAATGTGTTTCAGATACAAATAAAGGCTTAGTCTATTTCATCATGTTTTATCTTCTGTTAATATTTCGGGGGTACACCGCTATTACATTTGTGAGAAAATTCCATCCAAATGTGATCATCCCTAAAACTAGTCCTGCAGCCCATCGCCATATTGAAAAATAATTCCTGAGCGCCATTGCCAAATAGAGCATTTGTATGGCCGAATTTCATCCGAATTTCGAGATCGCAGTCCTGCGCACGGCTTTCAGTGCCTGCCACTTTTTTTTTTTACAAACCCTCAAGCGCTTGCCCCCCCCCCCCACCCCTGAAAAGCCCCCCCCCCAAAAAAAAGAGACCAAAAACAAAACAAAAAAGAGAAAGAAAAAAAAAAGGAAAGGAAAAGAGGCGCGAATCATGGTGTCAATTTAATGGGGGGGGGCAAAATGTCCCGCCTCTTTAAAACTGATAAATCGAAAATGTGTTGAGAAAATACAGGATTTTTTGGGTTTTGGGAAAAAAAATGTTTTGCCTCCCTCTAAAAAAAATCCTGGCAACGCCCATCTTTGCTCGCCACTGAGCAAAGATGTCAAATTGTGAGCGGCGCTTGTGTGATCGGATGGGGCGGGAATACTTGAGATACAATAATTATGATTTTCAAATATAATTATAATTACAAATAATGGCCAAGGAGGCTGAGCTAAATCCAACAAAAACTTGCCGTGGTCATACGTATACAAGACCAAATTAACTTTGGTATTGCATGTCCACAAGTTTGAAATGATGACAGTGATTTTTTGTCTGTTTTTTTTGTTTTAAATCACCACGGTTAATTGTATTTTAAAGGTATTCATCAATGCGTATCGGTAAATAATCAGTGGTGGACAGCTGAATTTAGTGATACATTGTGTTTGCATTCAAAAGGAAATAACTTGTAAATAGAGTAACCAAATAACGTGAAATCTGCACAGTTATTAGTCAATAACTTTTAGTTGTATTCCTATGTTACCTATGTTAACATTTTATTATCTAACTCGGTCATTTTTCTTTGACTCGCCGCGTACGATGAACTTATCCACTCATCATAAAAACTCGAGTAGGTACAACATTCACCATATTGAATGACCACATGTAGAATTCAAGACGTTTTGTCAAAGTATGAAATATTTTGTTAAAACCTACAATTTCAACTTTAAATTTACTCTTATAGCTATCGCTGTATTTTACATGTAAGTCTAACTTTTACCAATGCCCCTCGTATGTTTTTGTCAGACCTGTGGTAATCCAAACTAACAATACCCATATTACTAATACATGCATCCTAATAATTATGTAATAAGAATAGGTTTCTTCATACTAATATTTCTTTTTACATTTCCATTAAAACAAACAATATAGTAGTCCCAACTACTGACTGTAACTTTCAACATATATCGACCCTCGTCCCTAGTGGTGCATATTACTCTGACGTCATGATGACGTCATTGGGTGTCAAATTACAAGCGATCTTGGAGGAAAATGTGGCCGAATACTTTCCCCTATAACTCTTAAACAAAATGATCAATTATGTTCCAACTTTGCAATCAGATTTATTTTATTTATTATCCATTTAACTTTTTAATTTTCTTTTTACAAAATACTGCAGAAAAGTGATTAATGAGAAACTAATTTTACCAATATTTTGTCCTCTTTTCATTTTGTTACTTTCAAACTTTTTCTTGAAAGGTACATATTTGATTGCAGCTTGTCTGAATTGAAACTTGTTTGCAACAGCAACACCTCCCTCTGGCACTTCGTTACATGTTACTTTAGAATGTTAATGATGAAAATAATTTTCTCCGTCAATAATTCTTTTGGCAAATTGTTGTAATACTTCAAATGTTAAAAAATAACTACAAAATAAACCAGACGTATGGCGTGTTTTGTGATCAACGATGGTGATGGGGCAAAGTTCGTGGGCGGATGTATGTGGAGTGGAGTTAAGTATTTGTGGTATGCAAACGTATTACACAGCAGAAGTGCTCGTCGATGTATTGTGCTTTAGTGTAGTAATAATGTCTTGAATTGTGTGCTGCTGAAATCAACATATAAACATCCACATGTGCATGCCAAGCACAAAAAGGGTTTCTTCATACTAATATTTCTAAATATAATACATTTCCTTAAAACAAACAATATAGTAGTCCAAACTATTGACTGGGCAAGATCAAAGTGAATCAAAACACAGGTATATTTGCACTTCATATTTGAATACGATTTCATCTGTTAAAAGGTGGAAAATCCCTGTTCAGTTTGACTTTGAACCTAATGAAAGAAGTTTTGACAACTAAAACAACTAGAGTGGATGGCAGGGTCAAAGTTAGCCTAGTAACAGCAGGCTACACGGCAGTTCCACATGCATAGCGCGCACACACACAAAGTGTCTGTAATGCGTTAGTTCTGTATTTGTGAACTCCAATGATGCCGGTGACGTCACACAACATGGCGCCGTCCACATACAGAAAAAAACATCGATGTTTCGTCCCAAATATTGTCAAAATTAGACACTTTAGAAATACGTTTTATTATCATAAATGACCGGCAATGACGGGATATGATGTTTTCTTTAGGAAATAAATGAGAAAAGGGTATAATTTATATGCCAAGGTGTGTTTTAGGGGAATTTTCGCCAACATTTTTGCAAAGCGGGATGAATTTATTCGCGTATCGAAGACTTTTAAAAGCCCTTCAAGAAAGCGAAACGCAGTTTTTCAGAAGAAATCTTTATGTTGGTACGATTATTCAGTTATGAAAATAGCCAAATCATACTTTTTCTTGGTCGGGTCGACATTTTAAAATAAAATATAGACGTTGAAAGTCAGACTACAATTCCAAAGCTTCGCAGAGAATTTGGGCTGCTGCATCGCTGGTTCACGATCTAGTATCCCACTAATACATGCAAACTGGCGCGCGGGTACCAACTGGCCTAGCGCCGCGTGTGTTGTGTACACAAAAGCGCCGTACAACGTGTACACATATGTACATGTACATGTGTACGTAAAACCATGGAGGTAGAATTAGATTTTACGGACAATCGCAAGACATTGAATAAAATTTAAAAATACATACAGTGCAAAACAGATTACATAGAAATAAAGAACCATCTTTCTTTAGATGAAAACACTCACTGTGGACAAAATAAACTCACAATCCGAAATTCACAAATGTTTAGTGTTGTACATGTACAGTGAGCTAGTGAGTGAGTGAGTGTTGTAACTTGTACAGCATATTAAAGCAGCACAATCCAAAACCAAGCATGAATTTGACATCAGTATGAGACACTCTATCCTCTTAATATTCTGGGGGAAGTTGCTGACAATTAATGGGATCTATAGCTTAAACAAAACAATAACAAACAGGTTTTTGTTTGGCAATAAACGCATTCTTTATTTCACAACCAATCCATATCATTTAAAATAAAAAGTTTCATTTACAGAAGTGAAACTTCACAACAGCCATATTTTACAAGTAAATAAAGTGCACATGTAATGCATGCATGAACTCAACTTGTGAAATCAGGTTTGGCAAGTGATAAAACTATGAAAAGTCTGAAAAATTAAATAGGGTAGTTGCAGTAGATTCAAGAAAGTGATTCAAAAATTCAACTTTATGAAAGGGCAAATGGATTTAAGCATACCCTCACACCTGAAGACAGTAAAGGTTTTTTTATATTTATTTATTATTAATATTTTGTTGGAGAAAGGAGCTTGCAGTTCAACTGCACTATTTCATGAGTGGTGGTGATGGAAATTTCAGGTTTCAATTTTCGCTTTATTAAATTTTCACAAATGTACGTGTACACGTACCTGGATGACCTGCACCAGATTTACAAAGCACTACATCACTTCACAATTTGATGCAAACACAGTCAACTGTGAAGTTCTTTTCCAGTGTGAATGCATCATACATCGTCAATTTTGTTAAATATTTTAGAAAAGTTTTAACAAGTACAATTAACGACTCTTTGTTGACTTTTCGACGACTATTTACTGTTCTTTGAATAAATACATAACATGAAAATACATGTACATGTACATGCAGTCACCGTTTGTCCTTTGAATACACTACGACGTGTCGCACTTACAGCATATTTTGTGAAATGAATCACAGGATGCGTCATCCTAGGGATACAACGATGCATCGTAGGTTACAATAAGTGTCGTGAAATCAGGTACAGATTGTCATCATCACTATGAACGACACTCTCGCACCCGTGTGTGCGCTGTAAGCGCGCGTGTTTACAGAACCGGGATATTTTGGGTTTTACGAACTGACATCCGCCACAGAGCGGCACTTTTAGAGGCAACAAGGCATATTTGTACAATTTTTGTTTTCACGAACTGACACCCAAGCATGATGCGGCAATACATCTATCCGTGTACTTGTGTGATTAAACATGTACAAATTTTTCATTAAAAAGGGATTTAATTGGTTAAAATTAAGATCGGTGTCAGTTCGTGAAACCCAAAATGCATGGGTGCACTCTAAAAGTGTCGCACTGTGGAGGATGTCAGTTCGTGAAACCCAAAATATCCCGAATCTGTAAATACGCACGCGTGCAGCGCACTCATGTGTGCGCAAGTGTCAGTTTGTGGTGACATTGACAAGATATATACCATCTGAAATGGCATTAACAACAAAACAGAAACTGTCCTGATCAATGATTACCTCCAGTTATCTCCTAAATTCCCAAACTTTCTCAATTCCCCCGGCAGTAAGTTATTCATTATGAAATGTTTACGTCAACTATGTTATTCAAGCATCTGGGACAGGGAGGCAGCGAACAGACTACACCTACCACTCCCAATTCAGATCACACTGAAAATACATGTACATGTACTCCTCACCATGGACTATTTAGAAAGGTTCAGAGTGGGGGTTGGGCAGTTTGAATGAACATGGCCATGTCATGGCATGGTCAGGAACTGATAAGGAGTTCAATCGCAATGGGTGGGTAGTACAGATCAGATGCGGAGGAATCCAAAGCTCGTCCATTATACGAGGCCATGCATGTCGTTGCCATCTTCAATCCAGAAATAGGAAGAAACTCTTCAAACCTGAAAGCCAACAAGAATATAACAAATGGAACAAAGTTAATGGGATACTTTGAGATGCATGGTGGCAGCAAATACACCAGTCCTTTTCTGGTGTTGACGTCAATTTGAACATGTGCACATTAGGTTAAATGTGACGTAAAAAAAATGAAAAGGACATGTAAAAGGAAACGTCTCAAAAGTCTTTGTTGAAAATTATTGCCAGGTTATTTTCAAGATTGTTGTCTGTGTCTTATCTTAAACAACTTTGCTGGGATTTTTCTTGCATTGAATATGAGTGTTAAAAACTATAGAAGATAAGAAAGTTTCATATTTTATATTTTTCTATAGGCACAGACATACATGTAAACATGTACATTCATGTACATGATGTATGTACATGCATGTACATGTACATACATGCCATGATCAATTTTTAAGTAAAATAATATCAAGATGCTCACCGATGAAAGTTGTCAAATTTTCTGAAGGTATCCTTCGTCAGGGCAGGGTACGTCATCTGCGTGTCATGGTGGAATGCCGTACACTCCGCATAAGAAGAAATGTAGGCCAACCTCCTCCACAGCGTCCGAGAGACAACCAATAGGTCTAGATGGCAAATTAAAGTACACATTCAAGTTCATGTACAGTTACGTGACTTTTGTGTTTGTACACAACAAGAACAAGAGCATGCATTACATGGGTTTCGACTAAACTACGTACCCAACAACCACAAGACTGTTAACGACTTGGTCCCTAACAGACGGGGTCTGACCGTCTGAGATAGCATGGCCAACTCAGTTCCACTTCCATGTCAACTTGGTCCCAGGTACAAATGTTAAGTCGGTGCAATTTAAACTAAGTCTCAAGTCATTTTCCCAGGTCAAATTGGAAATTACTGAAAAAAATACTCTACAAAGTCATGAAAGTACAATTATAAACAGCTGAACAGTGAGGGCGAAAAGGAAATGATGGCCCTGGCAATGTAACCTACATTTTTGTAGGGCTATGCTATAATTTAGTAAAATGTAAAAATCATATTGAAATTGGAAGATTTCCTTGTTAGGATTATGGAATGCATTGTGATTATTTATTACGAATACGATTTCTGGGTAATTGCAACTAGCAAGGCACACTGGGCAGAAATATTTCTTAGATGAAAGTCTTGTACATACACGAGTCGTTGCGTCGTCCAAAAGTGCGTGCTGTGGGATAGCTCAAGGCGCCTACGCTACGACTGTTTCATGTACGACATTACTGTAATGACTTCCTGTCATGGCGCGGCGTACGTACACAAAATCCTTGTGTCGCAGGCTAAAAACAAGGAGAAACTACAAAAACTACATCTTCTGAGCAGAGTAAATACATAATCTGTAGGCTTACCTTTGAGATTTCCGTCTGAATCTCCGAAATCATGCCAAAACATGGCCACGAAGGTCCCCACTCGTCACGCCATGACACTGCATGTACACTTCGTACGTCGCGACTTGACGAATTCCTGTTTTATTCACCCTCAATATTGGCTAAAATCTCACGAAAGCATGTCGACCCGAACCTTTCGTCTATATCAACGTGAACCTAGATAACCCATTTATTGATAGATTGACCAAGTATGCGTCACAAAACTGCATTTTAGTTTAAAAATGATGTTTTCTCGAAGTGGAAATGACGGCACAAAAACGCTAAATCGAACCAGGTCACAAGTCACACGCTGCATAAAAAACACACATTATCAGAATTTGTGCACGCTAGATGGCAACTGTCGACCGTACATAGCTTCATTGGTGTTTGTAGAGCCTTATTTGGTAATCTGTTGCATATTCATTTTAATTAACCAATCAATCTTTATATCTTTCGCGGGGTATTTAAATCCACCAACGAAACAAAGGGATCGCTGCGCGTAATGTTTATTTACATCGCGCTAGGATGGCCTAGGATGTCACGTGGTATTACCACTAACTCCATCTCGCCAACAGAGGGCGTACTTTTTTATGCGTGAAACTGCCGTGGCTAGCCAATAGAGGCAAAATGTCAACACTGATAGTAGTATGACGTTACAATCGTGCCTCGCCGTTTTTAGCATTATGGAAAACCCTATGTAGCGTATAAATTGTCAAATTTTCACTGCTGTGCGATACAAAGACATTAAAAGACCTAGAGCTTTGCTGTTATAAATCCTAATGTGTTAGTTTACATCGGTAGTCTGATGAACATAAGCCACCATAATACGTTGAACGCAAACGATGCATGAACTGTGCAAAAAAAAATTTAAGAGACACACTTCATCAATATTTTGTCTTATTTTCCAATTTTTTTGATAGTCATGTACTTTTTTCCTGACACCTAAAGAAACTGTAGCTATATATTATGCGACTGAAATTTACACTGACTTCAATGTAAATCTATCATTATGAACTTTCCTAGCATTTTAGCTGCTTTATATGTTAAGTAAAATAAAATCAGGTACAAATTTACGTAACATAAACGATGACAACGACGACAACAACAGTCACAAGAACAACGACGACAACAACGACGACAACACGGCCCAAGTTGAGTTTATTCACCTCCTACAAGGTCAGAGAACTATTACGTTTGGCGCAATTTTCGATTTTATAGGAGCACAGTAAATCATTTTAAATGTGCCCAAAATAATTCTAAAAATAAATTCTGACAATCATGAAGTTGAATGAGGGGAGATAATAGTGCCTTATTATCATTTGTTAAGTGAATTTCAAGAAATTCTTAACTGTTCACATCAGATGTGTTTGTTTTGCTCTATCTAGTGCACCACCTGAAAACACGTGTGCTACATGGACCGTCCGGAAATTGGGCACAAAATCAGCTGAGGTACCTCTGCTGATTTTGTGCCCAAATTTATCGTTTTATAACAACAACATTGCTCACAAGGACCAGCAGCAAGCATTATTAAGGTAACAGTGTCAGTGTGTGAATGAAGAAATTGAAGCTTGTCAAGAAAGAGGTCTGGCAACGCTGCATGCAACACATATTTTAAATCTAGTAGGACTACACGTACGTACACGGTAAAGTTGTCTACCAGTCCTGTAGCCGCTATATGCTGTCAATTTTGTTCACGTCCAAAGTCCTTATGTTCCTGCAACTATTATGAAATTGAACTTTGTACTCACCAGTCTTGATGCGATGTCCTAGACTTTAACCGTGGTCCCAAAGTGAGTCGCAAACAGCGTACTTTCCGGTATAAATTCCCATGTGTTCTGATGAGTCAACATCGCGCGATGCTCTCGCGGGGTGCCAATGTCGAGACGTAAATGGCGCCCTCAATTGGCAGTATGATCCAATAATAAAAAATGCAGTGGCGCGAGCGATGAACTTTTGCCTTTTTCAACGATTATGGGTGAATATAGAAGTTATTTGCGTAAATGTAAGAAAATATTTAGAAAGTCCGCGTACCGTGCCGACCGAGCAAAATTAACCCAAACCATTCTCATTGCTTTTGTTATCTGTATAATGAAAAAATGTCTAATACTCGGCATATAAATGAAACATTTTGCACTTTAGTAGCTCGAATTTTAGATGCCAGTTTCTATGTCTTAATTGTTAACTGGATCGCCCCACTCATAGATCATTCCCTCAGGCTGAACTCCACGATTCTCTTCAGGTATGTCAGTGAAAGACTTACATATGCAATTAAAAGAACAAGAGTGTTTTGCTTCGTGAAATGGTGGCCTTATTTTTGGCTGACCATTCACTTTAGTGTCCTAGACACAGACAGCAGGAGTGATTTTTTTTCAACCAATGCACCACCCCCTTGCCCCCCCCCCCCCCTTAAGCTTACTTTTCATTTTCTCCAAGATGATATTAAGATGGATTGGCAAGTTTTAGACGGCCGGGTTCAGGCAGCCATTACCCAGATTCTCATTGTTAAGAGCCGTCTGTTCAACATAATATGTAATGCCTATCGACATTAATGTTGTTCTAATTGTACGTTTAATATTTCCCCATAAGCCCATTTCCCCATAAGCTTAGCAATTGCCTGCACTGAGCCGCTCGTAAGTCTCATGGGCTGTTTCCGATTGAATGTAACATCGGTGGAAATGAAAATTTGAATGGTTTCTCTCAACGATGCCATATTCTCTGACTTACTTTAGAGAGCGAACGAGCATATTATGCTTTATAATATGAACGCCAGCATTGGATTGGCCTTTGTCCGCCCAGAGGGCGCCACACACAACTGTTCATGCACGTTCATATTAAGGTAAAAATAGGTTTATGGGGAAATAGGTCAATGTGAAAAGTTCGGTGATTGGACTTTGTTACTCCATTTAGTGCAAACAATTGTGGCTTAAACGGGTTGATACGAGATAAAGAAGGGAATTGCCAGCGTAAATACCCAGAATAAACTAAGCCGAATGGTGAGGAATTTTGTATTATGCGCATGCGTACCCCCGTACATAATTACAGATACACATGTGCACTGAAAGTGCAGGCATTCATTGAATAATGTTAAAGGTTAGGTAACTAATTATTAATTCGTTATTTTTCGAACTATTTATTCGTTATTACGAATTAAATCTGATATATGCAGTCAAGAGCACGTAATCAGAATGCACTGGGCACTGAATAGGGTTTATTGTACATAACATAACGTGATTGACAAATGATCATTGGAAGATATAAACATTTTTGTTTTAGTAAAAATAGGTTTAATGGGAAATATGGGAGATTTTGGTTATAAAATACGGTGTTGGCCTAGGTAGAAAAGAAATCGGTGAGTGTCGTTTGCTTATCAGTCCATTAGGGAATAGGTTGTTACTTTAAATTGGCTCTTATGAGCTGGGGAAGGGAATTTCCATCGTAAATTCCAAAATAAACCAAGCGAAAAACAATCGTTTGTAAAGTTTGTCTAAATAAACTCAAACCTTCCCTCCAACAAGAACACCTTGCAGTCAAGGTCTTTCCTTTTTGGTAGAGAAATGGATTTAGCCATACAAAAAAAATATGTCCCGATCAGTTTTAGTCGTGTTCAACCATGGCCCAGTTTCTTGACTCTGTGCACCGCTGCGGCGGTGCGCAGAGTCAAGAAACTGGGCCTTTCACTTACTCTACTAACATTGTGAGTTTATGGTTAACATATTTCACAAAATGGCGACGAAATTTGGATATGTGTATAATTGTGCTTTCTTCCGGAGACACATTTCGAAGCGCTGTCAGCACATAATGACCATGAGTTGTGCCTTTAGAGGAAAACACGGCCATAAAATTGGATCCTGATTGGGCAACACATTGTTTGGTCGTAAATTTCCCTTTAACCCTAAAGGGGCCGGGTTATTTTGACCATCTCTCAGCCGGGGTTATTTTGACCATCTCTCAGCCGGGGGGGGGGGGGGGGGGGGGCGGCGGCCCCCCCCCCCTAAGATCTCGGCCATCGAGTGACGAAAAATGTTGAAACTCGGCACATGCATAGAGCAACTCTTCCTAAACATACCCAAGAAATTTCATGACTATAGGTCAAAGGGTTTTGGAATTATGGCTAATTAATTATTCATATGTACGAATGGCAATTCTGCTCTGTGTACACGACGTATATGCGAAAATTCAGTTTTCACGGCGCGTAGCGCCGGAAAATTATTCGCTACGCGGCAACCCGTGGTCCGATTTTTATGTTTTTGGTATCAAAAGATGCGCAAAGCTCGAGGCTAAAAAGTCATAACAGCTAGGGTCGCGAAAAAAATTATCACGGAAAATGCTATCACGGAAAATGTTGAGGAGGGGGGCGGATTCCGCCCCCCCCCCCCGGCCCCTTTAGGGTTAAATAACACATATGTACTGTAATGTCTCCAATATTAACTGGGCATGACCATAGTGGATCAGAATACGGTATATTTCTGTTTCACATGTAAATGCTGGATGCCATTTGATAAACAATTATTATGGAAAATCCCTGTGCATTTTGACTTCTAATCTTACGAAAAGTAAAGAAGTATTAAACAAATCAAAGAGCCCATGACATTAAGGGGTCAAAGGTAGCCTAGTAACGGCAGACCAAAAAACTAGCCAATAGGAAGCCAGATAAGAGAAATGTCAACTCTGATAGTGGCCTTACGTCACATCCGTGGGTAAACATTTTGAGGGCATTATGGAAAACCCCAAGTAGGCGTATTTGTACCATGTGGACTACTGTGCGATGCAAATAACACCTCCAATCAAATACAATTTGTAAGAGCTTTGCTGTTACATTTCCGTACATGATAGTGTTAGGATGCAAATAAATTCTTGAGGATTTAATTAGGGTAGTCAGGTGGTTTAAAAAAAATAATAATCTGTGATTACGACCATGATGCTGTACAAAATTAATTGACGAGACACACATTTGCACAAATATGCTGTCCTTTTCTGTCATTGCCTGAAATCTAAAGTCACCGCTTAGGGATTTTCAATCCAATATATATTAACTTAACACAAAAGAGGAGGATACTGTATAGTAAGTATAGAATATTGCAATAGCATGAAACTTTTTACACACAGACAGACATACAATAATTTTTACATGTACTTACTTTCCTCTTTAGTAATTAATTCAATAACACAAAATGTACATTATTTTGCTATAATTCGGGTTGAACTGGTTGGAATTTTGTTTTTTAAAATCAACTCAGTCATCGTTTATCAGTCAATATGAATATGCATATAATTCATGATGTAGTGTTTTGAATACTGATTTCAACTGTTATTTTGTTGATATTTTACATGAGTTGACAAATAATCTACAATTTACGAAACGAGACAAATATTTGCAGACTCCAGCACTCACAAAGTAATGGAATCATTCTTCCGATCTGTTACAAAAATCAAAACTGGTTGGCTTTGTTTTGTAAGAACGATTCAATTTCCATTTTAAACATTAATTCACTCGATTGCACGAACTGAGATTATATACATGAAGTTTCAAATGGCAATTTTTTCCCGAACAAAGTTAAAATAGACTACGGGACAACATTTCTATTCGTAACTCAAACTTTTTTGGATCAGATAAACCTAGGCCTATGCATAAGAAATAACACTTGACACTTCTGTCGATCCTTGCGTGTGTAAAATTATTGCCAACAATTCCAGAGTCCGCCGCACCTTGCTGTATGCGTTATCATCAAAAATTATCAATGGGTCAATAACTGTGGTTTTTATTGTTTATTTACATTACGTTTACAAAAACTTGTTCGTAAAAAAATTGGTAAATAACCCAGAATGAAGGTTAAACTGCATTGTTACAAAGTCTGCCTGGATACGGAACCACATAAAGCAACCAATGCAAAACGAGAATGTACTATACTGAGACTCAGCAGCAGCTCGTTGGCCTTAATAGAGACATCAGTTTTGATAAAAAAAATAACACATTTGCTCCACTTTTGTACAAAGATTTTGAGGCGTTAATAGATTTCCAACTTGATTTTACTGGCCTACCGTAATGCGTTTTATTAAAGGACATCCGTACCGTCGCTAACGTTGAAATTATAATCGGAATGAAATGACTCCTTCAGCATAAAGGTTTGCCGGTTCCCTTACATCTCTCAAAACAGACAAGTAAAACAAGTTTGCAAATAAACGAGTGTTCATATAAACAATTTAAACAGGGGAACATGCTTCGGTGACTTTGGCAAACGATTTTAATATTTCACAGGGATGAAGATTCCCAAACTGGCAGCATATAAGACAATTCGAGTTTTCGCGATGAATTGTATAAATCCACTACTATTCTGGTAGCGAAAATATAATGCGTGTTCAGAGAGATTCTCAAATTCAGACGAAAAGGAATGACCGATTTTCAGAAATGAATTAACGTTTTTAGCAAATTGGCCGGGAAAACCTATATTAACTACATCTACACATGTATATACACATAATTGTAATGCCTTTGAAAAGATCTACAAAATGGTTACGGTGGCAGACTTACCCCCCTCCAAAAAAAGTTAAAAGCAATTAAAATTACCTGCTTACTATCGGAAAAAAAAATCCTTCCGACGTTAGGTTTGAGGGTATTTTCACGTGAAATTCCTCAGAACAAGCACTGATACTTAGCATAAGCATTTGTAACAGCTATAGCTTGATACGTGCGTATTTAAATTAAACAAACAAAAACAAACCCAAAAAACTGGAGATTCGCGTTGGTTGTTACAAACGCACAGTGGTCGGGTAGAAAACTATTTTATGAAACACTGTCCAGTTAAGTCATGAATATTTTTGTGTGAGAGCAAAGGATCAAGAAATCAAATCCTTTCCAGGACAATCAATTATTTTGTTCACAAAAATGCATCTTTAACGGTGTGATAAATTTCAGTAAACAAGTTATTTCTGGCTTTCGGGAATTGAATACTGATTTAGTTCGGAATGGATGTTCATTGTAAAGTTAAATATCGTATGAAAATTTGGAAAATAAAAGTGTATATATTTATAACACCGAACTTCCGATTGATGACGTCACAGTATTTGGAAGCAAATGGTAAACATTGGGGCTAAATTTTACAACATGGATCAAATGATAGAATTAAATTACAAATATGATCGTTGGCACATTCTCATAGAAATAACTTCCATGAATGTGAAACATTACCAAGTTATCTGTGGTTAATCAAAGAATATCAAGGGGCGATTTGGTAAAATTTGAACCTAAGGTTTTAAAATTAAAGAAAAAAAACTCTATTTTATGTGCCGCTAGGGGCGCCCTTTTGGATGATGACGTGATTACACTGTTTTTGTGTCTAGCACCGGGAGTAAAGGTCAACCGGTTTTTTTGTCCGGGAATACGAAATGTTTCTCACGGCATAGTCTACAACCTCACGAAAAACCAACACAATACTCGATTTAGTTCAAAATATATAACGCAAACTATTTTGTTAAAATTTGCCCTTATATCGCTTGTAATTTTATATCTGATGACGTCATGATGACGTAACAACATTTAAAACATCTTCCAAACATGGTACAAGTTCACACAAGGTTTTGTGATCAAACCGTAAACCGTTCGGAAAAAAAATTGTGCTTTGTTTTTATTTCAGTCTAACGTCTTCATTTTGAATTCATCTAACTTTGACCTACCGGTAGACCCGGAAGTAAAGGTCAAACGAGTTTACGCACACAACAAAAATGTTAAGCAGTTAATGGTCTATCTGATTACAGAATACAATCATCATTGATTACTGAGTTCAAGAGTTATAGGTGAAAGAAATTGGTCACTTTTTCAGATAAAATCACTTGTAATTCGACACCTAATGACGTAATCATGACGTCAGAGTAATATGCACCACTTCGGATGAGGGTCGATATATATTAAAAGTTACAACTGCATACCATATACTGTTTAGGAGAAAACCCGCGGAGAAGTATTGTCCAGAAAAAAAGGAAAGAAGAAAGATTTATGAGTACAAATCCAGACAGTGGTCGGGTTGTGCCCGACCACTCACAAAAAAAATACTGGTCGATAAACAAAAACAAGGCTGGTCAACGACTAAAGTGAAACGAGTTTGATACTCAAACAGCTTGGAGATTTACACCAGGGCAGACACAACAATAACTTGAAGACTAATCGAACGGTATGTACGCTAAACGCACAAACGCACAAACGCAAGCATAGATAACTAGAGTTTGGCGTTTGTTGAGTTACAAACGCAGAGTGGTCGGGCGGACAGCCTTTTCATTATACACTGCCCAGTTAAGTTAGGAATATATGTTTATGTAGAAAAAAAGATCACAAAATTAAATCCCTTCAAGTACAATCAATGTTTCAAAAAGTTATCTTTAACGATGTGATACATTTCAGTATACATTCAATGTGCACAAAAAAAGTTATTTCTTGTTTGATGACGTCATCAGTCAAAAACGGTTAGTGAAAATTGACAAAGTTCGGAGAGGATAATTTTTCATTGTAAAGTACTGAGTAACGTATGAACATGTGGGAAATATAATTCTTTGTATTAATAACACCTAACTTCCGGTTTGATGACGTATTAATAGCACCTAACTTCCGGTTTGATGACGTCACAGCATTAGAGATCCAAAGGTGAACATTGTAATGGATATCATTATTTGGACTTCGAAGATATGACAGGGATCAAATGATAGAATTACGGTAGCGTCTCAAAAGTCGAAACGCTCGGAACGTTCCGTTGGGCATACTGGCCGTTCCGTCGGGCACACTCGATGGAGCGGTCCAACGGAACGTTCCCGTTCCGACTTTTGAGACCTCCCTAAATTAAAACTCTGATCCTTTTCAAATTCTCCTTAAAGTAACTTCCGGCCTGATGGCCTCATAAATTTGAAACCTTGCAAAGTTATCTGTGGTTAATCAGAGAATATCAAGGGGCAATTTGGTAAAATTTAGAGGGATGGTTTTAAAATTAAAGAAGGGAAACTCTATTTTATGTGCCGATAGGGGGCACCCTTTCGGATGTTGACAACATCACACTGCTTTTTTGCGTCTTGCATTCCTCACTTAACACTTTCATAATATATATTTCTGTAGTAAAATGCTTCCGCTTTTGTGTTATATTAAGTTTGTATTGCACTTCCGGTAACACCGGAAGTAAAGGTCAAGCGGTTTTGCGTCCGGAAACACGAAATGTTTCTCACGACATAGTCTACAACCTCACGAAAAAACGAACACGATACTCTATTTAGTTCAAAAGATATAACGCAAACTACTTTGTCAAATTTGCCCATAAATCGTTTGTAATTTGATACCTGATGACGTCATGATGACGTAACAAAATTATAACATCTTCGTAACATGGTACAAGTTCACACAAGGTTTTGTGATCATACAGTAAAACGTTAGGAAGAAATGTTGCTTTGTTTTGATGTCAGGCTAACGTCTTCATTTGGAATTCACCTAACTTTGACCTTCCGGTAGACCCGGAAGTAAAGGTCAAGCGAGTTCACGTACCCGACAAAAACTGTTTAGCGATTAATGGTCTATCTGATTACAGAATACGAACACCATTGAAAGTTTGATTTAAGAGTTATAGGTGAAAGTAATTGGTCAGTTTTCCAGATAAAATCACTTGTAATTTGACACCCGATGACGTAATCATGACGTCAGAGTAATATGCACCACTTCGGATGAGGGTCAATATATATTGAAAGTTACAAGTTCATACCACATACCGTTTAAGAGAAAACCTGCGGAAACGTGCCGTACGGGAAAAAAAAAAAAAGATTAATCAGAACAATTCTAGACAGTGGTCGGGTTGTGCCGAACCACTCATTTAATGGTGCACACGTACAAGGTACGTGTACCATTCAACAATTTTGCTGAGGTTATTTCACTCAATCTATTTATTATGTTGACAGCATAACATCTTAAAGTGAAATGCACATTGCCGGCGAGCAAGATGAAATTACTCGGTGCAAAAGGCATGTGTACCATCTATTATGATCATGATTCTGAATGGGCCACAATCGGCCAAAGCACATTCAGAATGGGACTGTTCCATGAATATAACTAAACCCGGCCCTGGCCGCCACCAAACGCCTGCTAACATCTTCCCAATCCACACCGAACTTCCATCTTTGCGACTCCGTACCGTCACAAGTACTCTTTGCAAGCGCTCTGGCAATACTGGTGTGTAGCTCTTGTAAGCGTTCGGCCGTTAGACCGGATTCCAGCAACGCGTATGTGTAGGTTGAACCACTTCTTGACTTGATAGCTTCAATGACCTGATCTTAATCCCCCTTCAAATTATCTGGAATGTTTGACATGTCGGGTTTGAGTAACCCTTTACACAAGCTATTGCATTTGTGATCGTAGAAAAACTTCATCACGCCGTACACCCCAAGATCGGTTGGGCCGTAGTAGCCGAACTTCGCCCCCCGTTTATCCATGCTATGAACTGCTGGATCGGTGAAGACGTAGCTTTTCTGGTTGTAAACTCCTTGTAAGTCGGTCACAAGGATCTCACCTTTTGATTCATGAAACGTGAAGTGGGAGAAGGCTACTGGAACAAAGGATTTTTCTTCGGTGTTCACCAAAGACGTATTGCTTAAGAATTCAACGTACCGTCCACGAAGGAAATACTCAATCGCTACCGAAGCACCTTCTCGGACCATCACATCGGCTCGTGTTTCTCCCGCACCGGATTCGCGACCAGCAGCATCAGGAACAGTACCAGAAACAGGTTTTCTTCCTACGTGGTTGGGGGCAGTCTTAATTTGGGAAATGATGGGAATGAGAACTTCAATCCTTGCAAAGTTTGAATCATTGATGTATGTGGCGTTGAACAGCTCAGCCATTTCTTGTGCTTTCAGGGAGGCGCGTTTGTCCGCTCTCCAAGCTTCTTCGTTCAACTTGGCACAGTACTCCTCTTTGTAGAGTTTTACAACGCATCGCTGACCGCGTTCAAACCACCAGCCATTGACAGAGAATATTTTTCCTTGGTAGGCGTATCTGGAAGCTCCTTTGGCAAACCAGTCGTCTTCAAACGTTGCATACTTGTCTACACCGTTCACAGTAAAGGACTCAGATGTATGGCTTTGAGATTTCCCCATTTTGCTCCAGACTCAATCACCTGAAACCCAGACGAGGCAAAGTTCTAAGTAAAGCTTACTTTATTTTCTTGAATCGATTCAATATGGCTATTCACACTGTCTTGGTATGCATCTGGTGTATGTACACCATAATACATGTGGAGCGCTTTCAGCTCATTACGCAGGATACCCTGGAATACAATAGTCTTTCCCGCGGTTCTCTTCACCAGCCAATAATCAGGCCACGTCAAAAGTGACAGTACAGTCAGCCAGTCAGTTAGTCAGTGAGTCGTACTGTAAACTGACCCAAACTATCACTCCAAACTGTGTATGACTCAAATTGCTCAGGACGCATTGCAAAGCTTCCCTTAAATTAACCCTCCATCTCTGTGGTGTGTGAGAACTAAAACTTGAGGAAACGGGATCGTTGGGGTAGAGGCGTAGCTAATTTAGTCTACTTACGAAAATGTTCTTGCCAATTACGTTATAACTCCAAAGATCTCTCCGCGACACATTTGAAAGCCAAAGTCTGACACTTGCACCCTTCAACTAGCTGTGAACTGATCTACCGTCAGCTTGTATGTGGATCTGTTATGCGTCAGACTTGCTGTTTATATAGGTTTCTAAAAAACAAAGAACTAACATCATGATCCCAGTGGGATTTCCAAGCCAGTGTTACCAAAGGTTATTTTTTTATCACCGAAGATTGACAGTGTAAATAGTAGACAGCGGGCCATTTGGTGTAGTTGTATACGTACCTCGTGGTCGTGTCATGTGCGCGGAACCCAAACCTTAAAAATTATATTTTATATTCAAAAAATATGTAGCTACACAAAAAATAACGGCTGGAAAGCCAATTTCATAAGCTACTTTTAGATGAATAAAATACTGAAATTGCTCAATCGCCGTTCAATGAAAACCTCTTTCGTCCAAAAATGCGATTTCAAGAATCGTCGCCACGATTGTCTTCAAACATCACCAGCGATAAAACCTCAGTTTAAAATTAACAATATTCAACAAAGTCCTTTTGAAGGTCCGTCTGTAAAAAAAAAGTGGATTTTTTAACCCTCCGGCGCAGAATCTAGCCCTTTTGGGGACCCAATTTGGTTAATTACCTTAATTAAAAAAAAATGTTCAAACCAATTCTGGTGATCTTCCATCTAATCCTAGCAAGAGACACCCTCTATGGATATATGCAGTCACCTTTAGTGTGTGACCCCGGGTCAGGCATATCTGAGCATGACAACCTGGGCTAAGGACCGATGCAATTTCTGCCCATCCGGGGACCCACCATATACACGCGCACAAAACAACTCCGACGCAATTTCTGCCCACCCGGGGACCCACCATATACACGTGCACAAACAAGGTCACTTGCGAGTAGACAGTACACGGCTTGACCACAGACTATGTATACAAATACACCTCCTTAGTCTACAGACATGTCAAGATTGTGTTCATGTGGATACAGTGTTGTGTAGCCTCAAACCGTGGCGCTAAATATTTGGGTCCCCGGGGGACTGTAAGTGTGTTACTAAATGGGCTTTCTGCGTCGGAGGGTTAAATCATATTGTTTGCCTAACCAGGGCTGTTAATAAAATTATTGTAACGTTGTTGACAGTTGTTTAAAAAAGTATTCTGTGTCATTTCCTTTGTTGTTTGAAACTGTCAGAAAACACAGTATAATTGCTTTTTTGGACTAAACATGTTTTAGGGTCATTACGTTTAAATGATAATATTCTTTGAAGGATTGAGCATTTCAGAATGTTTTCATCTAAATGCTTGTGAAATAAGCTGATGCAATTGGCTTTCTAGTCATTATTATTATTAATTTTGGTGCGACATATTTTTTTTTAATATTTTTTAAAATATGAAATAATATTTTTGGGTCACCATGTACACACCTTTTCCGAAACAAAACTCCGAAATTTCAGCAAGTATCACACAAGATGCAATTAACGTATTGGTAACTTCCTGGCAGCTTTTTGTGTGTCCCAATAAACGAGAGACCCAAAATGTGGTCGGCTAAGCGGTTCGAGTGGCTGACAGTGGCTCGTTATGATAACGCCCCCTTGGGGTGGGCAATCGGGTAGCCAATATACGAAAGAAACTTTTCTGGACCCAAGACTAACGCGAACGGCCTACGTGCATCAATTAACCATGTACGATGTCATCTTTTGGCCTCCGGGCGCACGGCGGACAAGGCGGCGTCCGTCTGTCGTTTCTTAGTTCAGATGTCAAATGCCAATATCATGAAAACGGCTTTCGTTTGTGCCTCAAACCGTTATTTCGAAGTGAGGAAACTACGGAACAAACAATTTGGTGTGAAAAAAATCTTTAATTTTAGACTGAAATACTCTGACAAACTAAACAAAATAAATGCAGTGGAAACTTGAGTGAAACCTCGATCTTTATTCGATGGAATAGATTGAACTTTATATCGTCTGGTAGTTTCAGTCGTTGTGAATTTTCACTCTTCAGAAATAAGAGAGCAGGAAAGTTTTTTTTCTGCATTTCGAATTCGCTCGAACTTTCTATACTGCATGCACTTCCCTGTGGCAAACCCGATTTAGGCCTAATTGATTTAAAGCATGCATGACCTCGACACTATATATATATATATAAGGTCAAAGGGTCATAACCCATGACCTCGAGAACGAATGAGAAGGCCTACTTTCGGACAAGTTAACCTCTGCTAATTTCGTCTAATTATTACAGTATAACTTCATCCAGAGGCAAAGAAATCCATTTCCTGAAAATTAATCAGTTATAAGTAGCTATTATGGCGAATATCAAGAGAAAAAGGCTACTTGTACACGGTTAGTCGAAAAAAGAGGAAACCCAAATGGCGCTCCCTATGTTTTGAAGAAGTTTTGCATGAAGCACGTTCAGGATCTAGGATGTAAAAGGTCAAGTACCTTTCCAGTTATGGACTTTGAAATACAAACACAGTTTGATAATTTTGTCCACGGATCGCAATAAAAGTGGGGCCTTTATTTCAGGAAAACGAAGACAATTCACCTATATATACAAAAGAAAACACATCACAACACTCTCATAACAATAACTGACACTTCTCATAACCTTTATTTAAACACCTGCTTCCAACGTTAAAACAACGTGTTTTATAATGTCAGGAGTTTATAGCCTTGCCATGCTCGACCGGTACGGTACAGTTGAATAGCGCCCTCTGTTGGCTGAGGTAAGCACCCAAACCACAACCTCGTTGTACTTTATAATCACATACTTCTTTGCAATCACTACATTTACCTTAGGCCTAAATATCGCTTGATAAATAGTGTCTAAAAACCAATGGACTGCAAACTTTTAAAATTTTGCCGATCACTTTTATTTCGTATTTTAGTATGTATTACGTTTCTTGCATGCTTATTTCAGCATGGTTTCAGGGCCTAATGATACACTGGTACAACAATTTGGATTTCTATCTCAATATTTTAAAGCCTGGTTTGCACCTGTAGTTTTCACCTCTGTATTTACAGAAAATTCACTAACTGATCATGCACGAGTACATTATAGTCTAACGCTCTTTTGGCTATCCGATCTTTTACCATTTTGCTTTAACAATGTTCTAACTCCAATGCGTGCATAATGTTTGCACTTAAAACAACACATAAGTGCGCCGCTGAATCCCGGTGATCAATACGCCCACTCCCGATATTCAGAAAACAATACTCACAACTCTCTAACGTGTTCTAGACACACATACAATTAAAGCTTTAGCCTATTTCATCACGTTTCATTTTCTGTTCATTTTTGTGCGCTGGACAAATAACGTTAGTGAGAAATTCCAACCAAAGATAATCAGCCCTAGAAGTAATCCTGCAGCCATCGCCATATTGAATGAAAATTATGCCTTAGCTCCATTGCCAAATAGAGCAATTATTGTAGAGTCAAATTTCAATATTGCTTGTATGACCTAAAATATGGTATTATTTAATAAAATATAAAAAATTGAATCGGGTGTTAAGAGTTAAACATGAAAAGTAACACTCATTACACACAAATGGAACGCCTTCTGGTGTCAATCTTCGCGAAAATAAAAGTTCAATTTTTCTTGTAGAAACCAAGTTTTGTAATTGTACAATGTACATTTCAATCACAGATATCGGTGTTACATTACTGTGCACCAATGTCGTGGCAAAATTGTGCTCTGAACAAATTCCAATTGTGTGCGTATTTTTCAACCATGCCATTATAATGATATGTCCAACAAGAGTGTGCATTTCAATCGTTGGCATTATTACTGGACCTTTTTTTATACGAGCAAACAAATTGTGATCGTCTTACCTCCGCCAAGGAGGTTATGTTTTCATTGGCATTTGTTGGTTGGTTGGTTGATTTGTCTGTTAATGGCATAACTCAAAAAGTTATGGACGGATTTTCATACAAACTTTTGTAGAGGTGGTCCTTGGTGTATACAAGTACGAATCGAGTAGATTTTGGAAGTGATCCGGATCTGGGTCTGGATCTTGGATTTTTCAAAGGATTTGTTTTAAACCGTTAGTTTGTTGGTTAGGTTGTTAGTTTGTTTGTTAATCTGATAACTCAAAAAGTTACTGACGGAGTTACATGAAATAATTTTTGGGAGTGGTGCTTGATATATACAAGTACAAATTCGATCCATTAGATTTTGGAAGTAATCCTGATCTGAGTCTGGATCTTGGATTTTTTGAAAAAGGATTCTTTACCATTTATGCTAGTATTTCTTTTGGGTGCACTGACAATTTGGCGGGTTTGCGATCTTTGTGAGTGCTTTCTAGTTGTTAAGTACTTTCCATGGGATTGTTTACTTGCCCATTAAATCATCAATTATATTTGCATGCATAGACCAACGTACGTAGGGCAGCCTATTATGTTATTCGTGGCATAGTCAATGTACACAACTTGATTTAGGCAAACATTCATTACAGACAAGTCTTAAGAATACGTAGAGAACTCATAAAATATCTCAAAGATTACAGAAGTTTAAACGATATAAAATACACACATTAAACATTTGC